TTTATTAATGATTTGTTTTGATTTAGATAAACAAAACCAGTGGATCCAGCAATTATGTTATTTCTAGAAGATGCATAATTATTATGAGAATTTAAAGATTAAAATTAAAATATTATTGAAGCTTTGGAGGTGTTATGAATCTGTCACATCCAAAAATGTGTTATGTGATATTTCTTACAATAATCTATTATAGTATAAAAACTCCTGGATATTAAATTATCAGTGTAAAAACAATTATTATTACAAAGTGGAACTTTATGCCATTAGCAATTTATTATTATTACTAGTTTGATTCATCCTGCTTTGCTAGGATAAAAAAAATTTTCCCAACAAAAAATAAGTGTTGGTGCTGTTAATTTCTTTTATTGCTAAAAAAGTTTTTAATGCAAACAAATTTTTTTGTAAATGTATTTAATATAATAAATCAAGAATTATTTATGTCAAAATTTATTGATTATACCCGTATATTAAGCTAGAAGCTGAGATAAACATGTTATTTATTGTAAAAAATAAAGCTTAATATTTGTTTTAGTTTGAAATTATGTCCTAAGAGTCTTAATTGATATGAATTAATAAAATAAAATTTTATTTTACTATATTAAACATTATTTTGCTATATTAAACATTAAATTAACACCAAAACTTATTATTTGTAGAGCTCTATATAAAACCAACCAAAACAAAATACTAAACATAACTCTAAATCAACTTAACATGAAAAGAATTAAGTTATGAATAAAAAAATCAAGCAAATAAAAAAATATTGTGGATAAATATTGCAATAATAATAAATTATTTATTTCATCTAATATTGTCTCACCCGTTAATAAATTTTAAATATCATTTTATGGTTTATCAGACATCTATAATTGCTAAATGAAAAGTAAAAATGAGGCTAATGAATAAAAATAATTGAGATTTGTTATATGAGAATAACAAAGACCCAATTAAAAAAAAGGAACTTGAATGGAAAAAAAGATTCAATAAACAAGGAAAAATTTGAATAAAAAAATAAAGTTGAGGTGGGGACATGTTTACCACTTTGAATGTTTTTTCTATAATAATTATCATTATTTTATTATTATACATCATATAAGAAAATTGCTTTATTTTATTTTATTAACTGGTTCTTATAATTTTCAAATATTTTATTTTGATATTATTATTTTTCAGTAGGGGAGAGAGGTGGGTTCCTGAATTCAAGTTTAGAGAAAGAAAATTGCTTTGCACACTAATAATTTATATTAAATAATTTTACATGATAATAAAAGTTAATATTAAATATTTTTTTACATTGAAAACATTAAAAACAAGATTTTAATTCTAGAAGATTTTTGTTTTTGTTTTTGAGTTGAATATGAACTTTGGGGTAGTCTTTTGCATTTTTTGAGATTATGAATTAATTAAATAAGGTTACTTAGGTGTTTTGAATAAAAGATAAATTAAAAATAGATTTTTGGATTTAAAACATAATTAAAAGCTTTGTTTTTCCGTTTATTGTTGAGACACAAAACGCGTCATTCTCTTCATTAACTTAAAAAAATAAATAAAAGCTGACGCGTGGAGGTTTGAACTCTATGGGCTAGGCCTACAATGCCTGATCCCATTATTTTTTAAAAAAATCTATTTCTCTGTCTCTCTGTTGCCATTTAATAACCAGATTGCAGTTTGTAGCCAAGAGTCCTTACAAGGAGTACACCGTAAGTACATCCGGCAATTAAATGACAGATTCAAACATGCTCGGTGTGGGCGGCAAAGAAGAATGATGAAGATTTATCATCCACTCTTGAGAGGACATTCGCATTTATAACATCTGTCTTCCTCCCATGGTAGAATGGGGTCTCTCTCTTTATGGCCCTTTCCCCCTCGCTAGCCGCCATACAAGCAAATCGACCATCAGCAATGGCTAGGTCTTGAATCCATCCAAGTTGTGGTAGTGGACGAAGTAGGGTAAAATCGTCATCTTGTATCGTCATTAATTAGGTCCTGTTCTGACCTTTCCGCCCAGGACAAAATCAGACGGGCGAGAAGAAAGAAGTCAAGATTCAGCATTGAAAGTTTGAACTTTAGTCCAATCCCATAAAAAGCACCATCACGGAGCGTCTCAGCAGAGAAGCTCGCTATGCTTGCTGCCTGGCTAGAGCTCAGTTGACGCCACCTAGCTCCTTGTATGGAGCAAAGGTTTCCTAAGCGAATCTTCTGCATCTTCCATATCGTCTTATAACAGCTCGTGATTGCTTGATGAATAATAAAAGAAAAAAAAACAAGGATTTGGTAAAAAGAATAACCAGTTGATAATCATCATAAGTTTATGATCTTGAGTCTTCCAACCAACCTCCTCCTCCTCTTTTTTTTTAATATCTTAAATCGGAAATTAAGTAAAAATCTGCAAAATCTTTGATGCGGTGCCGATCGACTTGAGGCATTGGTTCAATTCCTTAAACACAGAATGAATTGGACAAAGACGTGGGGCGGCACCACAAACCTTGAGAAAACTAATCAATGGCCAGCATATATATATATATATATATAAGAATTTATTTGAGGCTAGAGGGCAGCACTGTTTAGCAGAAACAAAGAGCAGAAAACAAAGGACGTGTAGTTATTGTATGGCAGTGGATGCTTGTTGCTGCAAGTTGATGATCTATCCTCCAGTTTATTTTTTTTTGGCTTATTACCAGAATAAAAAAATCATGATGCAAAAAAGATAAGAAAATAAGTTTTTTTTGGTACCTAGTTGACTTTTTTTTATAGAATAAATTTATTGTATTTTTATGGTTTAATTTTACTATTGCTTCTTCTTCTTCTTCTTTTTTGCGTAGTGCATCATAAATATGCTAATATAAATATCTAAGAGAGAGGGCTTCTATTTCTATGTTTAGCAGTACAATTTATTTATGATTAAAGAAACATATTGAGAAGGTTATGTTCATAATTTCAATAAAATATGGAGTGCAAATAACTCCCTAGCGATGTTGAATCTTTTACTTTATAATTTTCTAAGAATGATTGTTTCATGCTCACATTACAAAATATACATACATGGGTTATAGTTGATAATTAGATTATTCACTTGCACAAACACCATGGTTTAAGATAAATTTTTCTCTAACATAAACTTTTTTTAAAAAAATACTACTAATGTGTTTTTAGTGAAAAATTTAAATCATGTGGAGGTTGACTAGATGTGAACTAGTTAATTTTGCATTTCAAAAAATAACCCGAATGATTTGTTAAAAAAATAGTTTGACAAATAAAAAACTTTTAAAATGACAACTTTTTCAATATTAAAATAACAATATATTAGATTGACTTAAGCTAATTCGGTTTAATGTGTTAAATTTATAACTTGGGTTATGAGATTATCAAATCCATAGAAACAAATCAAGACAAATTATAAAACTTAATTTTCAATAAGCCTAATATTAAATGATAAAATTAAAAAAATTAATAAAAAAATGATCTAAAAAAATAATTTGAGTTAGCTTGTTAAACTTGGGATATAAGATCAAAATAACCACATAGAAGAAAAAAATTGAAGCAGATTATGAAATGCAATTCTTAAACGGTCTAATATTGAAAAATAAGACTAAAAAATAAAATTAATTAAAAAAATATAAAAAAATTACTCAAATCATTTTTCCAAACTTGTGATTTCACTCATGAGACTGAGATGATTTTATATAAAAAAAATAAAAAAAAACTGACATAATTTAACTTGTATTAACTTACCAAATTCACGACTTTGATTATAAAACTAAAATAATCTCGTAAAGAGAAAAAATAAAATAAAATTATGGAACTTGATTTTTAACTAATTATATCGTATTTAATGTCGAATGGTGAAATTAATAAAAATTTTAATTAAAAAATAACACAAAAATCAAGCCAAGTTAATATGAGTTAAGCCGTTAAGCATTATTCTCAAGTTATTAGATCTAATTTTCAACTGAACACAATATTGAACAATAAAATTAGAAAAAAATCAATTTAAAAAAATAATTTATATTAATTTACTAAATCTGTAACTTGAGTAATGAGATAGAGATAACTTAGTAAAAAGCAAATCCAATGTTAAATGAGACGAGATTGAGATAATCTTTTATAAAATTAAAAAAAATATAATTTAACCATGATTAAAATACTAAAATCTGCAATTCTGATCATGAGACTAAAATATCTCTGTAAAAAATAATTAGAACAGATTATAAAGTTTAATTTTCAACCAATCCAATATTGAATGGTAAAATTAATAAAAATAAATAAAAAATTTAAAACACAACTTGCGCCTACTTAGGTTGACATATTAATTTAATAAAAAATACATAATTCAAATCATGAAGTCTATATCTAATTAACCAAATATTAAAATTTTTTTTTGCAAAAAATCACTAACTAAATTAACTTATAATTCATGTTATGACAATGAAGTTACACAATAAAACAAATTATTATTCATTATTATAGTACTTTTATCGCGTGTTTCAGTTTATTATTAATTTTTAAATCGATTGAAATTCAAATACTACTGTGTTCAGAGATAGGGATTGGTTAAATTTAACTTGAGGCACTCTACACTATAATAAATAGTTAACACGTGTTTGCTGTCTATTAAAACAATTAACGGGATGCAGCCCATACATTTACCGTGGGATTCTTGAATTCAAAATTAAAATCCACACCTTAAAAAAAATATCTACAAATTACTTTAATATATATTATATTATATTGTGTTAAAAATAAACACATGAATATTATACACGTATGGATTAGATTTGAATTGAATTTTACAATATTTATATATTAGCATCGGATAATATAATTAAGCATTAAATAATAGTAAATTATAACATTTAAGTTTAGATTATAGACAGCTCAAAATACCTAAAACTTGATTGGACTGGGTTTGGTGTGAAAACCCATACCTAATCGGTTCCAAGTCGGGCTTGATGGTTATTTTGGGTTCGGGTTCGGGTATTATCCATTCCCCCTAAAAAGAAGCAAGCAGGCAAGAAAGCAAAAACACAGGGATAGCAAACTTGAGACTAAAACATTCTCTACATGCAAAAATCTTTGTCTCGTCTCTCTCTCCTTTGCATTATTCCTTTCTTCTCCTTTGTTTGCTGCATTGCTTACTATACCTCCATCATCATCATTCATTAACGTTTTGATGCTTCTTCAGTAGATAATACACATGGGAGCTCAAAAGAGCGTCCATGCTGGAAAAGGTCAGTGTCGTTTTTTTGTTTTATATATTTCTTGGCCAATGTCTTTTCTCTTTCTTTTTGGGAATTTTCTGTTGTTTACATGTTTTAGTTGTTCTTGAAACGTTGACATGTTACAGCCAAGATTGATGCGAATGTTGATTTCACTCACAAGCTATGTGCTGCTTTGAGGCGTCCTCCTCTCAGGTTCTTGATTTTGTCTATATATTAATTAATTTAATTAAATAAGTAATTACTAGTAATCCACGTCTCCCTCTCACTCACCCACAGTCAGCGATTCTATTTATGTAAAACTGCAGGAGCACTGGAAGTCCTCTTTCTCTGATAACTGGGAGGTGGGTCTTTTCCTTTTTCTTTATGATCTTAGCCATTTCATTTATTGGGTACCGAGCTTTTATTTTTATGGCGTATCCTCCTCTTAAATTTTTCTTCTTCTTGTGGGAATTTTCTTTGTCTGAGAAAACGGTAGGAAAATAAGAGGAAAGATTCTTAAGTATTACAATCTTTTTATGTGATTGGATTCAAGAAGTGCGAGGCTTTGTTCTTTAGCCATGTTTGCAAACCAGAGAAAAGCAAAACAAGATGAACATTCGTGCCTGTTTGCAAAAAAGTAATAGTAAATTGGGGTACTTGTTTGACAATCAATTCAATTGGCTTTTTGCAGTCTTTGCATCAAACACCCCAATTTATTCGGTGGAAGTGAGAAGCTTGATGTGTCATGGGATAAGGGGCTCTATGATTCAAATGTCATAATAGCTTTTAGAAGGCCAAGACCTGAGTGGCTTTCTCAAAAATGTTTTGTTATTCAGGTCAGTTGCTATAAGCTATGATCAATCTTTGGTTATTATTGTGTTTTGCATATGGAAAATTTAGAAATTGGGTTTTAAAGAACCTTTTAATTCCATTTATTTTATTTGGTACAGAAAATCTAAAAAAATTAGGTTTTTCAGAGAAAACACCCCACTGGGATTTTAAACGAAAAGGATTGATATTTTCCTTTCTCCAATTCACATGTTTTTTTTTTATTGATTTGTGAATTATTTGGCCCAGCATTCCTTTTCACCTGAAATTGGGGTCCACGGTACACCAATTGACAATTTCTCTTGTTCTGGGAGCGGAGGTGTAAATTTGTCTCGAATATCTGTTGGTTTGGATAGAAATGAGCCTGCAACTTCTGATTGGAGCAGCACCACCAGTATCAAATTTGAGGTTCTGGCCATCCTTAATAAGCACCTATACTTGTATTGTTATTTTCAGCTGCATAGTTTTTTTCTTGTCGTCTATGGTTGATTTATTAAGAAACATAAATGTTTTAAGTTGTGCAGCATGTACAAATAGTGAACGATAGTTGGCGCTCTATAACCAGGGACATTGATGGGTTCCCATTGACACGCAGGTAGCCTGCAATTCTATTATTTCAATTTTCAAGTGTTTTCTAACATGTAGCTTCCTAATTGGTCGGTAAAATGCTTGTAATACAGTGGCAGTCCCCATGACAACATGGTAGTTTTGAAGCAAGAGTCTCAATATGCAAAAGCAAATGATCACAGTTTTTATCGGGTAAACCATCTTTTCTTGCTGGTATATTAATTGTGTAGACATATTCATATTCGTTGAGGTTGACTGCAGTTCTCTCACACAATAGTTCCAATCTCAGTCTTGATACATAAACCTTGCTTGCCAGTCGTGCTGCTTTTTCACTAACTATGAGTTTTCTTATATCCAGTTTAGAATGCAAATAGAACAAGGGATTCCTATTCTATCAAAGTGGCTAATCTTTAACAAGTTCAAGTTTATTGCAACAAAAGGAGTCAAACTTGGACCAGCATTTTTATTGGCAAGGTGAGCAGGTTTTCTATGTTGTCTTGAGTAGGTGTTCCGTGGTTGTTAGATCAAGTGGTGACATAGGGGTCCAAAAAAGTGGGAAGACCCTGAAAACAAGGGGAACTGGGAAGCAAGATGTAAATAACAAGTCTTTTCAAGGGTCACACTAGCATAAAGGTCATGGTTCTAGGAACTAGTGATATGCTGGAGATAACAAAAGGAAATGATATCATGGTTGATAGAGTGTATACAGAATCTTAATCTGAATTTTAGTAAAATAATGCTTGAAACGAGATGGAGCATTGGCTATGCTTGTTATTCAGCTCTTTTCACTGGAAGCATGCTGCAATTCTTGCTATCCTCTCGAGCATCTTGGTTGTTGGAAGAAAATAGACAGTCATGCTTCTCATTCTTTCTCCTTTGCATGACCCTTACTGTTTTCTTCTGACAGCCTGGCAGGTGGTTCCATTGTAGGGGACATGGCTCCTTACCAAGCATTTGCAATTGGAGGGCTTGGTAGTGTACGAGGATATGGTGAGGGTGCTGTTGGATCCGGGAGATCATGTCTAGTTGCAAATAGTGAATTGACATTTCCTTTGGTATGTAATGCTGTCATCATACTTTGAGGACATCATATCATTATATGACACACATCGTTCTGGTTCATGCTGCTGCAATTTACAGTTCATTAATTCTTCACAGAAATCTTAAGGAAGAGACCCATTTGGCTCTGAATACTTATGTTGCAGCAGCAACTGGACTGATCAGAATATTTTCAACAATTTAATAATAAAAAAGACACCATTTTATATCCAGGTTTCATTTTTATGCAAGGAACTATTGTTTCCTTAAAAGATATCAGGTTTGGTGCTATGTTGTGTGTTTTGTTGTGTTGGATGTTGAATGTAGAAGAGGAGAAGCAATGAAATTGATTACTCTATCTGATTCCCCTAGTATTTCTTCATAATTCATAAATACAGTAGTTTGTCTTGCCATGTGATTGTAGGTTGTTAAGGAAAACATTGAAAAGTTGTCAATTTAGGAGAAAATATGCGGCGCCACCTAATACCACATGTAGTTGGGTAGCTAAAACACAAAAAACCTAGCTGAGGTTGAGCTAAGGAATAGTGAGAAATGGTCATTTCCCATGGCTGCGTCACCTGTCCACTTGGTTTTGTCTCTAAAACCCTCCTCCCCACCTCTCTCTTTCAAGGTTTGTTTTGAAATGCATGATAATTTTTTTTGTAGTGCTGGCAGCATGTTGATGAGGTTAAATAATCTGTACTTTGCTGAGCAAGGCCATGTTAATTAGATTGGACTGTGTAGATCACAATTTCCTAGTTTTGAATCTTTGGCTCCAAAAATAGGTGGTTGTTTCTTGCAAGAGAAAAGAAATGCTCTTTGCTGGTGGAGAAGAAAAAAGATTCTGGAGTGTGTGATCTTTTTTCCTCTTGATCGTAAGAGTTTCTTAGAGGATTGCATTTGCAGCAGAAGTAGAATTGAAAATTTTTACTAACCCTCAAAGAAAAATGAGAAATCTCTATGTTTTGAATCTTGGAAATTGGTGTTATGGTCATCTTCAATTGAGTTATTGCTTGAGTCATCTCTAGATAAATTAGATTCTCTAACACACCTACTATTTGATATAGATGCATTTTAGATGCTGTTGGCACTCATTGCTATTTTGCAACACAATCTTTACCATGGTCGTTAATTCGGTTAGATGAAAGCTTACAGTATGGCCAACTGGGTTTTCTGAGTTTCATCTGCAAAATCAAGGTATTTGGAACTGTGGTAAAGGGAGTACGCAAGATGTAATAAGTCCTTTAGGTTTGTATCACTGTCAAAGATGAAGTTAATCTTCGGTTCAGGGACGTGAAGGGTCCAATTATATGACCACTCAACTTGCACAGCACTTGTTGGAGATCTGGTAATGCTTTGGCAATATGTATATTCTTTTATGGGTTGTCTCTAGGTGATGCAATCCTAAGACACCTCTAGACTTAAAATAATCAATCAGCTTGTACTTTTCTTTCTACCATGAGATTGGCGGTCAGAAAGGATCATTGCATGCCGTATGTCATTTCCTTATTTCCATATCATCTGTTCATGTCCTCTCCTGATTTATTAGATATTTCGAGCCTAGCAACTCTAGCATATTGGTGGAACTTAGACATGTTGTTAGAAGGTGTGGGTTAACAGCATCGCACTAGTAATTCTTAAAATTTACTGCAAAATTCTGTTGGAGCTGCACTTCCATTATGCTATTTTGCCTTCTGACTATTTTTTCTACTGTAACTGAGTTTTGATGAACGGATGCATGTCAACTTACTTTCAATGCATTTCTTACTGTACCCAGAATAAGATGTTAGACGGTGCTTTTTTCTTGGACTGTGGAACCGATTTGAGATCTGCTCGTCTTGTACCTGGTAAATTGACTTCTTTCACTTGCTTGGGAATTGTGCTCTACTCAGTTTTTCTAGTCATTTTCAGTTGAACTTTTCTGTTGCGAGGTCCAATAGTATTTATGTTGCCGAGGACTGGGGACACCCTGCTTCTCCATATAACAAATTGCAAAGAATAGAGAAAGTGTTCAGTTACAATGTTTTAGAGATTCAAAAGAACCTGCATTTTGTTCTTAGTCGCATAAGGGGCTCAGTTCAAGGAGCAACAAGAGAACAACTTTTTATAGAGTTCCCAGGACATAAACACGTGCATATAGGAATTTAAACAGGAGTCTGGTTTGTAATTGGATGAGAATGAAGGCACGGATTTAGTCCTTTCTTTCACTAGCAAGTATGAAGCCTTGGTGTTTATTAATTATTAGTTGTATACAGTATACTGCTTTCCCTTTCTTTTGCTAACCTGATTAAGTTATCTTGTCTATGTTGATCCTACATCAATGGATCTGTTTGAGCACCCCTCATTTGACCTTGTCTGCAATTGCTCAGTGTTTTCACTCCACCATGTTCCACAACCCTGTGTGTGGCAAGTACCACTGCTTCATGTTATTTTCTTAATCATTGTGAAGAACTTTGCACTTTTCGCCTTTGGAACTCTAAAGTCTTTTATTTTTTTCCTCCTATTTCTTCTTTGCTAGCACCCCATCTTTTTTTTTTTTTGGTGTTGTTGTTGTTAGTGGCCTCATGATACAGTTCAATTTTGGAGTTTCAGGAAATCCAGCAATGAGGCAGGGCAAACCGGGATCCGGAGTTGGGCTTGGATACGGCCTTCGTTTCAAGTCTCCGATTGGTCATTTTATGGTTAACCATGCCATCAATGATTTCCAACAAAGAACTGTTTACTTTGGCATCAGCAATCTCAACCGATAAATTCCATAAGCCCAATGGTCGACTTTTCATGGCCTTCCAGAAGGTTTAGATGATGATAATTGAGGAAAGTTAGCTGTGGAACTTGGAATGAGAAGGAATATTGACATTTTCAGGCTGCTAAAAAGGAAAATGCTTCCTGTTCTCAGTTGCGAATATCAGGAAGTTTTGTCCACCTACACTTCCAAGCAATCTTATAATCTTGCAAGTTGCGAAACCAAAGAGTAATTGTAGGAAACATCTGCTGCTTTCTTTTCCT